TTTATAAAGAAGAAAAATATGATAAGAGTTTGATGATCAATATCTATAGATAAATAAAAGAATAATTTTGGAAAAATATATATTTAAACTTGAATTATTTAACTGGAAATAAATAAATAAATAAAATAAATAATCTTAAAAATCTTAAAAATATTAAAAATCTTAAAAATAACTTAATTTTGGTTGAACTTATTGATATAGCTAACTTTATGCTATCTTTAATTGGTATATTTGCATATTAAACTTTTTTAGTTGAACTTATTGATACAGCTAACTTTATACTATCTTTAATCAGCATATCTGTACATTAAACTAAAAAACTAAAAACTAAAATCTTTAAAAACTTGAAAAATTTAATACTTAAAAACTAAAAATCTTCAAAAATACTAGGAATATTTAGCTATTCCCAAAGTCTAAGTTAAAAAAAAATGTGTTTGTATAATCTCAAAAAATAATTTCCAGTCAAAATAATTCAAAAATATGTAATATAATTTCAAAATTATAATATAATTTCTTAATTAATGTTTGTTATCCTATTAATGATTGATACTAATCAAGTTTTTATACTCATTAAAGAGTTCACATTAACAAGTTACTTTATTAATAAAAAATTTATTGTGATCTACTTATTATTTCCTTGAGAAAATAATTTTTCTCTGAAAAATTTGAGTTTAATATCAATTATAATTTCGTATAAACATTTAGCATGATCTTTATAACTCTCAATTTATTTATATCATTTCTAAATTCTATTTTTGGATTTTCAGATAACAGATCTATGTTGTTGTGATAGGAGAAACTATATCTATTTTTAGAAAATATTACATAACTTATAGATCATTTTCAATATGTATCACATATAAATTAACTAATCAAAATTATACTAATTTATTGTAATAATGATAATGATAATTTTGATAATTTAATATTTATTGTAAATTTTATAATTTCAGAAATGTTATTTTTACATGATTTAATAAATTTTTCACTTTTATCATATTATCTGTTACTTTTTTAACATTTCCTATGTCATTATCATTATCATTAGCTATATTTTCACTATTTCTATCAATTAATTTATTTTTAACTAATTTATTAGTCATACTTACTGTTAATGCATCAATATTTTTTTTAATCTCATCTTCAAGATAACTTAAATATATAAAATATTTAAATTGAGATTTTTGTAAGCAATAATTATAATAACTATATTCACATATCAAAACATTATCATTATATAGATTATAAGTTCTGTCACAATAAATCAAATCACATAAAATAAACATATTTAGCTTTTTAGAAGTAACAAAATCTCTTGAAAGATAACAATCTGTCATTTCATAGTCTAATGAGGGTAGCTTATATGTATTAATATCATCAGCTAAGGATTTAACAATAGATTGCTGATCATGATTCTGATATACCTTTACAAATATTTCTAAAAGCCATATAAAATATTTTTAAGAAAGCATATTCAACTATTTTGGAATATATGGATACTTTACTAAATATACAAAATTTTGTTGAAATATGTTATCATGACATTGCTAGAAAATAAAGTGTGCATCTTTCCATAATTATTCAGTTGTAAGAAATTTGGTAGTATGTCTTCAGATAATATTATGAGCATTTTTAATTGGATAGTTACTAAGAGAAGCTAGATGATTAGTAATCATGTTAAATATTAGATAACCAGTTTTTATCCAATAAAAAATATTAGAGAAAAATATTAATGAAGCATGCTTATAATTTCTTTGATCAAATTAAAGAAAAAGATTACTCTAACAGCACATACATTCTTCCTCATAGGCTGGTCAATCTCCTTCTCAATGGTGTATAGAATAAATATCAAGAACTAATAGAACTAAATTACTTAATAAATTGGTTAGATATAAAAATTTAATATTTTTATATGTAAAACTAAATTTTGAATAAACTGTACTAGTGATGATAGATTATACTATGCATATAATATGAAGAATTAAATTAATTCTCTATGGTTATAACTTCTTACCAAGATTTTTTTTTGGTCTAAATATTCACTTGTAAATATCATTAAATAAAAATGAATTTTTTAAGTAAACAAGTTCACATGTATTTAAAATACATGAAAAGATCCCATAATAGGCAAAAATGATATAATAAATTGAGAAATACTTTTATTATTAAGAAGAAGCTATTATATAATAGCCTTTTAAATAAAAAACTGACCTGACCAGTTTATAACAATAGGTATTGCATAATTAGAAAGATATATTTGTGCTAACTCTTGATTATATAATTTGAAGAATATCAATATATTTCTCAATATTTTTCAAGTTTCTTTTAACAAAATTAATAAGAATAGAGTTATGAATATGCCAGTTCTTTTTTTTCTCTTCAAGTCTATCATTATAGCTATGTATTACTAATATGTCTATTATCTCTTCAAAAGTAGATGCTTTTTCTGTACTTTGTATATAATCATGATATAAAATATCAAGATTTATGATAAATCATTCATTAAGATATTTTATAATCAAATTACTATCAAAAAACTTTGGATTAATTATCCTATTAGATGGTATTGCTGATATTAAATACAGATTGACTAAAATTATTATCATGTGTATTGGTCTGGAAGTAATTGTAATATTGAATTTTTACAGAATATGAATATTATGATAGTTATTAATATTAAGTACAAGTATATTCTCTGATTGCTAAACAAATGCATTTTCCACATATTTTCTATAAATATCAGATATTTTTCTTTTTCATTAATTTATTGCTTTTGATATTGTAATTATATCAAGATTTGCTATTGTATTCAAATCTTCATTACTTATTTCTGCTAAATCTAGATAATATGCAAGATCAAATTTAAAGGAGTTAATTTTTGTATTATTTAAAGAAGCAAGTAAATAACAAATAAATATAATTATTCTTTTTATATAACTCATTATTTGTTTATTATATATAAATAGCCAAGTTGCTAAATAAAGTTGCTCAAAAAAATATTTGAGTATTAGTTTATGTTCTTCTAAAATTTTTCACATTTCTTCAAATGCATAAATAGTACTTTCTTTTTTTATATGTTCTCTTTCATAAAGAATCTTTGCCATCATCTTGATAGTCTCAGAAAGTTCAGACTTTTTATTAGACATACTTATCTTGTCTGTATCCTGAAAAAAGTGAATATCATTTTTCACTTCCTCTGATAATGTAGTTCTTGTTTACTTAAAATCTCTTTTTAATGAATTTTCTATAAAATGCATATAACAAGAATTACATAAAACAATATCTTCTTTTCACGTTATCTTTGCTAGATTGTTACTTTTAACTTCTCTCCATTTGTTTCCATTTAGTGATCAAAATCTAGTTGATTCTTCAACTTTGTATTCAAAACATATTTTCTTCTCAGACATGTTGGATTCAAGTGGATTCAGTGAATAATACTATTTTACAGTATAAAAGCTTTAATTATGCTTAGTGATCTCATGTATATTTCATATGTGACTGAACGATGCAAGATTCTTTAAAAAAGTATTGTAAAACATATAAAAAAATTCTTTCTTCAATTGTGTAACATTTTCTAAAAATAGGTACAATTCCTCCTGTTCTTTTTTGTACTAACTAACAGTTTCTATCTTTAGATTATACGCTGGTTCTGGCTGGACAACTTAAACCAATCAAAATAGACGAGAAAGCTGATAAGAGAGTTCATAGAACCTTTCAGGTATTTTTAATCTTGCACTTCGAAATGGTAGGTATAGCTAGCGAAACGTTTTTATGTAGGAATCCAAGACAGGGGAACCCAATATATGTTCCGTTTGGTGTCAAGGGGAAGATGGTAGAACCACCCCATTGTCAACCAATTCCAATAATAACCATATGGGACGCAATAGCCCTCCTTTGGACAATCTACATAATGAGAATGGAGTCTTACAAGGAAATGGAGCTTCAAGACCAGAAGAAATATCTTTCCAGAATGCTAATTGTTTTGGTAGACAAAATTGCGATGATGGAACCGAATGTGAGTGGTCGCCCAACAGCAGTAAATGTAACGGCATCAATAAAAGAAGGGAAGATCATAAAATTTATGTTCGGGGCGTCAGTTCGCAGTGGAATACAAACAGGAACAATAAAAAAAAAGATGTTGTACGACAACAACAAATCAATAGCAATGTCGAGGGTGAGAACTATACCGATATTACAATGGTGCCATTCGAATGTTGCCCAAACCAGGAGGGAATCCAATCGTTGCAACTATCCTTGGGGCAACTGCGCCGAATCGGTGCCTTGGCGGGCAATGCATGGACGAAAGAGAAGCCTAAGACACCGTGTCGGTTTGTGGTCCCGAACGTTCAATCTACAGGAGCAAGAATTCCGGAAACCATGTGTCATGTGCCAAAGGGTGAAAAGCAGGATGAATCTCGAGAAGGTCGCAAGATTCCGGAAAATCCATTTATGTTAGTCGAAATGATCGCAAATAAAAAAGATCGTAAACGCGTTGCAAATTATCTTAACTGCTATGTGGAAGGTGGGGATCCTTCTACTCGTATATGTTATATGGAAATGGTTAAACAGTATGGTTTTGATCATATCATTATCATCGGAAAATGTTACGCTGGAATTCTTTTCCTGGACTGCTACGGTCGTGTGTTCGAATGGGAATCAATGTGTGATGTCTTATGGTCACTTGGGGATTATAGGAATGAGGCGACAAAGGAGTCTCGGAATAGCCGTGTAATATGGGGTTTAGAGTTCGATGGGACTATTGTTGAATTTGAGGACGTTAAGGATGGTATGTCGAGATTTTATTGATTCTCTTTTTTATTTTAAATTTTACAATTAGTTTCTTTCTCCTAGATTCACCAAATGAACCAACCCCACAAAAATGATTGATATTCACCCTGTTGCAAAGAAGAAAAAGAATTTGAAAAAAAAGAACTCGAAAAAGAAACAATATTGATCTGGTTTCTATGAAATAATTAGTGGTCACAAATATACATAGCATAAGACAAATTTACTATATTTGCTGTAATTTGCAGGCGTAAATAATAAAGCAGATGGTTAGATAGCAAAGAAAATACTAGCAGTTTAAATAATAAACTTTATTCCTCCCTTTAAACATGATCTACTCAATCATTTGTATCGTTTAATTAGCCGGCCTCTTACTCTCAATATACTCATTTTTTAAAAAATAGCTTGACTAGTCAAGTTTCGAAGAAATATTCGTAGCTAATTATATACTTTAGATTTAAGGCGAGCAAGACACGGTTTAAAGGCTGAGGATCCTGTACCCGATCTTAAATAGTACGAGTAGTGTAGATAGTCTAGATTATTATTGTTCTGTAGCTATATATTCATGAATTGTATCTGTAGAGTCTTATATCAATTTTTCTTTAGTTTTACTAAAGGCTTCGCTATTGTAAATATATCATTGATCATCACGGGTTAAATAAATATTTTCGCATGTAAATATATCAATTATGATTATTTTTTTCTTGGTATTTTTCCGAGACCGGCCGGTCCTGTAAATTTTAATCACGCGAATTTAACTGTATAATAAAAAGATTTTGAATGAATGGGCTTTCTATATAAAACAATGTCAGACACTCAATCAAAAATCAATTCGTTACAAGAATTAAATTCGAAGCTCTTGGCTGAGATTTCTGAGCTTAGAAAGGAGAATGCTGAAGTTAAGGCTAAATATGATGAGGCTATGGGTGAGATTGCCGAGGTCAAGGCTGAGAATATCGAAGTTAAAGCTGAGAATACAAAATTAAGGCAAGCCTTGGATGAACATGAAACCAGGTTCACGAATCTAGAGCAGAGTGATAAAGAAAAGACCAACCTCATTGCTAAACTAGATGATGATATCAAGGAAATCAAACAATCGAAAGTTAATACCAGTTCTATCGAGAATTCTGACAACACTCCTGAACAATGTCAACCTATTCGCACAGAAACCAAGTTATTGGAAGATAAAGAGACAGATGATTTCTTGGATGGGGCATATAAGAAAAGTGTTAGTGATCAGATAAAGCAACGCAATAAAGAGAAGAAACTCCAAGAAGATTTAGTAATGAATTTAATTTATTTTTATCATTTATCTTTTCTTTTTAGAACATCTATCTTATCTTTTCATTTATTTTATCATTTATATTATCTTATAACTTACCACATGTATCTTATCTCTTTATTTTACTTATTTATTTATTGATCTTTTATCCCAAAGTTTATAATTATAATCTAGAGTAATAAATAAGTTTAGATAGAAACTTATAAAATCTTAAAGATGTATAAATATCTCTGTTCTAAGATCTAAAATAAATGTATTTAAATAGTAATAATTCAATTATCTTTAATAATACTTGAGTTATACTTATCTTATAATTTTTCTTTGATTTTTGTCTTGATAGCTTGCTTTCATTTATCTTTTTTATCATAATAGATTATATTCTAGTTATTTACAAATTTTTCTTATCTGAAAAATTTAGATAGTAGATGTTTTCTACTTAAAATAAGTTAAGTATATTTATTTGATTTAGGAGATTCTTATAAGCTTTTCCATGTATAAAAGCTTAGTTTAATATTTGTTATTTTAGTTTAATATTTATTATCTTAAAATTAATATTCATTATTTTTATTTTTGTATTTATTACATTTGGTATTTGTTATCTTGATTATAAGTATTTATTATTTTAGTTTTTAATACCTATTTTTAGTTTAGTATTCATAATTATAACTTTATTTTTATATTTTTATTTTATTTTATTTTTATCTTTTGTTAATATAATACTCATAAATATTAGTATTAGAAAATCTTTAAAATAATTATAATCCTCTTTATCTTTATAAATAATTCAGTTTTCACTCTTAAAACTTATTATAAACTATATTTGTGATAAAATTTATTTTTCAGAGTATAGTTTATAATAATATATATTTTATCATATATTTTATCTTATTTTCTTCTTGCTCTATTAAAAAAGTATTTTAATCAGAAGTAAACTTACATAAATTATCTTATTGAGAAGATAATTATATTTTATTAGAAGTAAATCTTGCATATATTATCTTATTAAGAAGATAATTAATTATATAATCTCTTAAAACTATAAAAATAAATAATTATCATGAATACAATTACTATTATCATTTTAAAATATTTACATATGTATAAACTTAAAATGATAATAATATAAAAATTATTTTAAATAAAATTTTTTTATAATCTTTTAATATATAATAGATTAAATATTTATATTAATATTTAATTATTATTAAAATAATACTTGACTTATTTAATATAATTTTATTTATAAGTTTTTATTAATATTAATATAGTTAAAGATAGATTTTTTTAATTTTAAAGATCTATTAATTATATAATAAAATATATTAATATTATAATTATTAAATTTAATAATAAGATAATATGATAATATTATATTATTATAATAAGTAGATTAATTAATAATTTTCATTATATTAATTATTATTTTTTTTGATAATTATTATTATTTCTATACTATTACTATTTTTAATACTTTTAAAAAGATTATTTTATGATAAATTAATAATTTTATATATAATATTTAGCTAAGATAAGATATAATAAAGATATTATTAATTATAGATAGGAAAGATTAATATAATTAAAAATATAATATAATTAAAAATATAATGTAATAGATATTAGATCTACTTTTATTAATATCATAATATTAATTTTATTATGATAATATTACTAATTTTTTTATAATAGTTTTGTTAATTTTGCTATAATAATTTTATCATGGTTATTATATTTATAAAACTATCTAAAAATATCTATCAATAATATTATCTTAATTATTATTTAATAAAATATAATAAAATAATTTGTAATAAAATTAGAATAATATTATATTTTATTTTACAAATCATTATTGTATTACATACTATATTACACGTAACTTATTATATCATAATTACCTGATTATATCAAGAAAAGTCATATGATATATTTGAGTTATTTTAGTCATAGATAGTTTCTAGTAGAATTTCTCTTTTCTTTTATTCTACTAATTTAGCTAGCATATTACTAAATTTATATATTTCATTTATAATCATTTATTTCTTTATTTATTCATTAATAAGTGTCTTCCAGAGATACTACCATATAAGTATTATCTATTATTAATTTATTTATTTTATTATTAATTTTATGTAATATTAATTTATTATTTAAATATACTATATCTATTTTGTAATTTTAAGTATTGAAGTATCAATACATCAAATAAAAAATAAGTTTTAAAAACATAATCTCTTGTCTGCTTTTGATTTAGTTTTCTGTGTGAATTCTATTTCAAATAATATCACTTTATATCTTGAATATTTTGTATGAATTTTCCTAATATAATATTATATTCTGACTTTTTTTTGTGAATTATTTGGATATATTATACTACATAACTAGAAGGTTACATAATTATTTAATAAAAATATAAATATAAAGTAATTAATATTGTAATCAATCACTTATTTGTGTGGTGCAGTAGACATAGTGCAGCATATAGTATAATAATTACCGATTACTACTAAATCAAGTGAATAAGTAATTTATATTAATTAATCTTATTTATAATTAATTCTATTTTTAACTTATATTATTATCCATATTTAGTCTTATTATTTTATTAAATTAGCCATGTGTATCACACTTAATTTATAGTTTTATTAAATTAATAATTTTCTAATTAAT